CTTTAGATTAAAACAAATGATATTGGATGAAATATAATTTTATATTTAAAATGTGAAAAACATACTCTCTGCTTTCATATTCAAACTCCAGGAGGCGAATTTCAAGAAAATTTTCTTATCTAGTGGAGCCTGAGTCTGCGGAGAATGCTTTGAAACATTGTTCTGTTTGACCTCTGATTATTTAAATTTTTCTTTTTAATTCTGTGGCATGTGTGCTTTCTATGGTGAGTGACCTCAAATTCCTTCTGGAAGTAAATGGGGAATAAATTAGAAAGATACACTGTGGCTCAGATTAAACGTGACTTGTGGTTTCATGGCTGCATTCCCACCCTGCCTCACCCCACTTGGAGAGCGCTTCTTTTCAGGGGTTCATCCTAGGAAACGAAGCTCAGGGGCTGCCCTTCCAGATGACAAGGCAGCCTGGTCCCAGAGCCCCTCCCCAGCTCTAGAATTTCCATACCCCCTTTTCCTTGTCTTCTCCCCACTCCCACTAGTCTTAGCAGCTAACAGATATATATCCTGGGCTCGTATTTTAGCAGACGTTAATGGTCTCTATGCTATTTTTCCTTGGGTAAGCCATGTGGCACTGTGCCTGGCATGTGGCACACAGTGAAGAAATCTTGGTGTGGTAATAATGGTATATGCATCTTTAAGGGGGCTTTCTTTACTCAAGGGAGTAAATATAAATTGTTAGAATTTCAAGAATTGGGTGAAGTCAGTCAGAAGAAATTCCAGGCAAAAGGGCCTTTCAGTTCCCTTCAATAAATGCTACAGAGGCTGGTTCAAAACCTGCCACTTGCTACCATACGCAATGCTTTTTTGCCCCGTTCTAGTTTTTCTTTCTCTAACTTTTCCTTTTAAAAATCTTATTATTCTATTACTCAATTTCTTTATTTTACCCAACTCTGACTTATTTCTAGAAAACTTAAGGACACTGTCTGATCCTCCAGGTCCTAGTCACAGTGAAAAAAAGAAAAAAAGAAACCTGATTTCAGTTTTAGATAACAGGATTTGAGTCCAGGTGCTTATTTTAGCACCTTCCTGGTTAAAAAAAAAATGCTGTGAACTAAGATCCTGAACTCTATTGTAAATGTTATAGCACTGAACTTGTACAAGTGTGCTGAAATACTCCTGCCATTGCTAGTTTCCTGAGCTATAAAATGGGCATGACATGTTTATCAATTTAAATCTAACAGGAGAAAACATTAAAAACACTTGATTTAAGGGATTTGGGGGAAACACATCCATAGCTTCCTAACAATATTTTGAACATTGCTACAGGCAATGTTCACATCCACACTTTCCAACATCATTATGAAAACTAGCCTAAGCTAATAAAATAACATTGGCCATCCTATTTCACAGATAACTAAATGGAATTGTGGGAAACAGGGACAGAAAGCCCTTTTGAAAATAAATAAGAATAAATAATGTGTATCAATCAGGCTTTTAAAGATCTAAATATATTTTTTAGAGTGGGATCCCCAGAACTATAGCTCTTGAACGTTAATGGCTCAAAAACTGTTCAAACAACCTCAGAGCAATGAGTCCTGCTACCACTTCTTCTCACGGGGAAAAAAGAAAAGAAAACATCCTTCTTCCTCCCCTATCCACGTGGGTCACTGCTGCTTTTCTCTCTGTGAAGCCTTTCTTCCGGAGGTTTGCCAAGTTTATGTGGTCCACTGCAGATAACGCTGGAAGTGGCTATGGCCAAAGAAGGTCAGAGAATAGGGCTACTGAGTGGGGATGGGGGTGTGCTTGGGAAGGACAGAGGCTGAGATTTAGGTCACCTCTGGGGAGATTTGAGTTTACCGGATACTTACTGTTTATTGGTATTCATGCTTTTCTATGGTCCATTATAATAGTCTAAATTAAGAGCTGTATTCTAAACTCCTTAAAGGTGATTTGCAAAGTTTTTAAAATAAAAATGATCCAACCATCCTCTAAACAGCGGAATTGCCATCTTCTGTAAATAGAACTGGCAAGCATTTCGTCAGTCTTAAAATATCACCTCCCTTGATTTCCTGCCCCCCTCCCACCAATGCCTCCCTTTCCTTTTCAAAGGTCCTTAAAGCGACACTCCAGAATGCTGTAGGGGGACTTACAGGGCCCCTGTTAATGCCAAAGAGACTGGAAGAAGCTGGTCTGTGGCGAGACACAAGGCTTACTGTTTATCATGTATTGTTATGAATGCTGCAGGATTTCTCAGTTTTCTTTTTCTCCATGGCTTATAGACTAAGAGTACTTGAACTTTAAATAATGGATAAAATAGCAAAATTTGAGCCATAGGCAAAGTCTTAAGCTTCAGGACTTACTTAGATTATTCTACTTTCCTGAGCGTAAGACAAGCAAGACCTGTCTTACAAAGCTGGAAGCAGGACTTTCCTGCATAACAAGCTTCAAAAGAGAAAGGAGGAAATAAAATAATGGGATATTCTGATGCTCGAATAAAATCCTACTTTTATTTTGCCTAATTTTAATTTACATGCCATACATGGCATAATCCCTGCTTAAAGAAGCCCTCAACTTTGACTTTGAGCAATTCTCAACAAAGGGTACTTCCACCCTCTCACCATCTGCATGGGCAAGTCAGTGGAACTCTAAAATACAGAGTTTAATGGATGTTCAATTACATTGTTGAGGTGCTTGGATAAGGCTCAAAGATGAAGAAACCCACCTAGTTTCCCTGTGTGTGGTACAGCCATCTTTCCTGTGATGGAACAATTTAAAGCTACCCATACTCTTCCCTTATGTGTACACCTATAAGGCAGCGACTGATAGTTGCGTACAGCTACCCATTTCTCCTTTCTTCCATAATAGGAGAACCTTGATTCATAGCCAAGCATAATCCTGCCCAGAATGAAGATGGCATTTCTCGGCTCCCTTGTCAGATGTGGTCACATGACTAAGTTCTGGTCAGTATTATGTAACAGAAGTTGTAGCATTTCTGCAAAGAATCCTTAAAAATGAGGATCATCTTCTGCTGCCTAGAACGTAGATTATATAGCTAGAGCTCCAGCAGCTATCTTGGACAACATGTGACCAACCTTGAGGGCAGAAGCCATGCTGACAATGGCAGAGCAGGAAGATCTGAGCCTGGGTTCCTGGCAATACCCCAGAGAGCCCAACCTACCCCTTGTCTACCTACCCCAGATTCTCTTCCATGAAAAAGAGAGATAAGCATCCATTTTGTTGAGTCTCTTGCATCCAGAGTTTAGCTGTTTGATTTACGGCAAGTGAACAAAATATTAAGTGATGCACCTATCAATACAGTCCAAGGAGCCCACCTACTCTGGACAACAAATTTAACTTCCCTCCTCTGCAGAAATTCCTTCACTCATGTAAGCATCATATGAACAGAACCCGTAAGAAAATACCAACCCAGCATCCTTCCCACAAGAGCAAAGGTGTGAGATCAGCTCTGCTTTTGCATATTATCAGCAACCCCAGCATCCTGTCACTCCAATCCCAACTGCTCAAGTCCAAATATTGCCTATCATTTGAAACCTCACTAAAACAGCACACTAGGTTTATGATGTAGCCCACAATTCATCAGAGACTGGGCGGAGGTCACCAACTTCCTCACTTACGACCCAAACCAAAAAGGTCCCTGTAGAATAGCCATTTTATTGATGCATACAACTACTAAGGTCTTTTAATTATTATAATCAATAACAATAAATTTTAAAAACTACAATAGTACACTGGAAGATGTCCTCTGAATTTATATGTCCCTATAGGTATATTAGGATCCTAAATACAAAACAATATTAATAATAGTGATAACAGCAGATACCTCTTACAATTCAATACCATATCATTGTTGTTGTACTATCTGGCCACCATTCTGCTTGACACATATATCTGGAATTCAAAATATCATTATCCCTATTTTAGAGGAGGAAACTGAGGCTCTGAGAGGTTAAACAAATTGGCTAAGACTATGCAGCCAGTCCATGGCAGGGGTTATTGCTGAACCCAGAATTGTCTATAAGCTTAAAACTATTTTAGGTGCACAATCTTATGTCTCAAAGTGTTAGAGAAAATAATCTAAGGAAAATCTCTATTTTTCTCCCCTCAGAACTACAATAAAATATTCTAATCCTATTTCCATTTTATATTAACATGAGCATTTCCAAAAACAAATCAAAGGAGAAAGCAAACAAAAAATCTGATAGAATTTGTCTGCAAAAGGTAAATAATGCTAGAATACATATGAAGCAAATCACAGAAGTGTTTTTTCTTAATTTCACCTTTTGCTAAGAATTTCAATTTCACGGTGACCTATATGTTTCCATAACAAGGGTCATTATACACTTTTTAATCCATGAACCTCAAAACTGAAAAGAAACTCCTATAATGACACATCCTTGTGTAATCACGTCTCTGTATGCATTCCTTTTTAAACATGTCTGATTTATTTCCCACCTCTTTGTTGAGTTTCCACTTTAATAAAAGGAAAAAACACTGAGAGAAGTCAAGCCCTGAAAGCATTCATTGAATACGTCAAGCAATTTACCCAGAATTCAAACAATAAATGAATTAAAAACAAACAGGAGGAACAAATAAATCTTTCTATTAAAAATAAGATATTTGCATGTATGTATGTACGTGTGTGTATGTGTTTGGGAGTCTTTCTACTTAATTTAAAGATATATATAAAACATGGCAATTACATTAAAAGTTTATCATTAGAATAATTAATATTTTCGGGGGCTGCTAAAAGCTAAAGAATTAAAATATGCCCATGAGAAGAAAGTCAAACAGAAGGTTAGAGCTCCCTCTTTCTTTTTCTTGAAGAAATTCACCAAAACATCTCTCCCAGGAGACCAAAGTTATCAAGCTGACAGCCTCGTAGCATAGCACTCATGCTCAGAGCAAAGTGTTTTCACAGCCTCTGTACACATGCTACAAATATTAGAGTATGTTTATTGGTAGTTCATTGTTCATAAGAAACTTATGCAGTAGAAAAAAGCACTTTTAAAAGTAGAAATACTCACAAAGCCATTTCAAACTGTTCCAGCCACTTTTTCTTTAAATCTTTTGTTTTGCAATAAAATTCTAACCCATTTTGTCCTTGGATATGGATGAGGTAGAAGCCATAAGACCACTGTTAAAATTAATATTCCTCAGGTTAATAAGTATCATTGATTAATAACATCATGTTTCCAAATTCACTAACACACCACCATAATCATCCACAAACCACCCATAACATTATGATCAGACAAACTGTGAACAATCAAGACTACTGCAGTCAACTTCATATCTAGAACAATTGCTATGCCAAGTGCATTTTGCTGCCTTGATCATTAGGGCATTAGAGGTGATCATTATCACCTGTGGCACTGTCCAATTATTTCTCACAGAGGTTTGCTTCTAATTAATCTCTAGAAACAAAAACACCTGGATGGATAAGCGGCCTCTCACATTAATGTATTAGCATACTTTCCTTGAATAGTCAAAGTTATGAGTAAATTACAGTTATTCATTTCCAAGAATTTACCTTTTTATTTTCTTTATCAGTTGTAGGATTGTTGGCTATTTTGTACTGCTGAAGATCTATTATTTCCTTCATTTCATAGTTATCACCTTTCCTTTTACATACAATCACTGCCAAATCAAATAAGAAGATATGCCTGAGAGAGAGAGAGAGATTTATTTAAATGGTTTGGAAGCATGTGTATTAATTCTTCCCAGGTAAAATTAATCCTGTGAGTTAAAGACAAAGGCAGTGTGCACACTGAAAGAATGAACTGTGTCCTGGCACTTCCCTTTACTAAATGAATCACCCTGCTGTGCCTCAGTTTCCACAGTTAAAAAATAGGCAAAATTATAATGAAAACAATATGCACACTGCAGAGTTACTGTCAGGAACAATTAAGCCATAAAGTGTTGTTCGTGAGCTAGTACTTTCTTTCTTCCAGTTTAAAAGCTAAACATTTATGGAATAATATTAATGACAACAATAGCGGTTAACTTCTACTGATGTTACTAGGAGTCAGACAGATTGTCTTGAGAAGCATTCACCCCTTCCACAAAGATGACTCAATTTAAATCCCCAGGACCATCTCCTGAGGTACGTATTATTATCATATTCATTTTACTCGGGAGGAAGCTGAGGCTCAGAGAAGTTAGATAATTTTCTCAGGGTTACACTGCCAGTGGGTGCAAATCAGGATTCACTCTTGGGTCTACTTGTGGAATCTGCGCTTTTACCCTGTATGTTGCTCCTTGTGACTTAATGGACAACCTAAAACATAAATTGAGTGGTACATGACCCAAGTGTAAGCTAGAGAAATTATGGTTAAATTTACATGTTGGTATTTCTCTTCTATCTTACTAAAAGCAATATAACTGGGGGAAAAAACAGACCTTATAATCCTATCTTCCAGTACCAATATTTGTATCTTTTCAAAAACTCTCAGTCAGTGATTAACATGCATACATTTTTTTAAAACAATAATAATGAGACATTCACGTAGCTCTATTACTTGCAACACTTTCAAAGTCTATTTTTCGGGAGAGGCTAAAAGGATGTGTGTCTCCTGGGAGCTACCTTTAGAGCCTGGGTATCAGGTGGAAGCAAGAGCTGATGCTGCCCCCTACTGGTTGACTTTCTAGTTTCCAAAGTTTCCAGAAAATGGCCATTTCAACTAAATAAATCAGTTTAACTACCACATAATTAGCTCAACTAATCTTTAAGGACCGCACCTACAAATTTCCCTCGAGAAAATCTCACTAAATGGCCTTCACTTGGACTTCCTGCTTAGGACATGTTGTACTGTTTTTAATTCTTTTAAAATGCATACCAAAAAATAAAATTAAAAACAATTGTGTTTTTATAGTAGTTGTCTATTATTGCTTTATTGCTACTCTCATTTTAATGTGTACTTTTTTTACTCTAGCTGACATTCTATATTTGTCTATTCCTCCTTAAGAACTCAAACTTAGGCAAATCAACAGATACCAGAAAAAAGAGGGGAATACCTAACATATCTATATGAGAAATTAAAAAACCACAGATCGATCTGACCCCTTGTTTTTATTCCTTTATTTCACTCCTTTGTCCTGGAGGAACTGTTTTTAAGATTTTCATAATCTCCTGATCCTAATAACTTATTTTGAAAATAAGTACTGATCCTTCTCACCTTTCTTGTTTTGTATGCTTGTCTAGAGTGGTTATTCGAATTTCACCATCTCCCTGAGGTCGTCCAAAAAGCAAAACTGGTTGGTTCTAAAATATAAAATGTGCATGTCTCAGTTTTTCATAATCACATAAAAACAGAAATTAACATTAGTGAGGATATTTGCTAGGCACAACTATCCTATAACAAGTTTTATCATTTTACCTTTTAACACACTTATTCTAAAAAGCTCAGGTCTGTATGATACACTTTCAAAAATAGCCTGTCCTTGGTCATCCCAGGAGGCATACTGAAGACATTAATTGATTTTACTTACAACTCTAACGAAGAAGTTAGCTACCAAAAGAGAGAATTGGAAAAATGCAAATCACAAGGAAGTTACAACAACTAATACTTACTGAGCATCCACTGTGTGCTAGACACTAGGTACAGGACAAAATGACATAGACCCTGCCCTCATGAAACATACTGCTCAGTGGGGGAACAAATATTCACAGAAGAATATAATTACAAACATGTGATTGCCATGATGGAAGAGCAGAGGAAGCATGCATATCTGGGGGACCTAATTTGGTCTAGGGAGTCAAGGATGGCTTCCCTGAGCTAAGATCTTAAGAATGAAAATTTCTGCCTTGATGATTAAAAATAATGAGTCATTTCCCCAGAGGCAGAAAATAAAAAGTTGTAAGTATTTATGAACACCTACTCTACAAGGTGCTAAAGGAAAAAGAACTGACTGAAAATATCACTAACATCTATGAGATTACGTTCTAATAAAAAAAGATATGTAATTAATTAACTGTACTACAAGAAAGTATAAAAATAAATGTTTCTTATCTGTATTTTTTGCAGAAACAGAAAACTCCATCCTAAAACCCATATGGAATCGCTAGGGACCCTTAATAGGTAAAACGATCATAAAAAAGAACAAAGCTGGGATCTCACACTTCCTGATTTCAAAACTTATTACAAAACTATGGTAATCCAAACAGTGTAGAACTGGCATAAACACAGACTTCTAAACCAATGTAATACAACAGAACATCCAGAAATAAGCCTTCACATATATGGTCAAATGATTTTTGACAGGTGTGCCAAGACCAACTCAGTGGGGGATAGGAGAGGCTTTTTAACAAAGGTTGCTGGGGAAACTGGATATGCACAGGTAGAAGAATGAAGTTGGACCCTTACCTTATACCGTTTCCAAAAATTAACTCAAAATTGATCAAAGAGTTAAAAATACAAAACTTTTAGAAGAAAACATAGGGGAAAATGTTTATGACATTGGATTCAGTAATGATTTTTTAGATAGGACACCAAAGGCACAGGCAACAAAAGATCGATAAGGTGGACTTCATCAAAATTTAAAATTTTGCACAAATAACACTATTAACAGAGTGAAAAGGTAACCCACAGAATGGTAGAAAATATTTGCAAACAAAAATGTGGTAAGTATTGATATCCAGTAATTCATGAAGACAGAAAGTAGAACGGTGGTTGCCAGGGGCTGGGAGGAAGGGGGAATGAAGAGCTAGTGCTTAATAGGTGGAGAGCTTCAGTCTTTCAAGATGAAAAGAGTTCTGGAGATGGATGGTGGTGACGGCTGCACAACAATATGAATGTATCTAACATCACAAAACTGTACACTTAAAAATGGCAAACTTAATGTTTTATATATATTTAACCACAATAAAAAAAAAAAACAGCTGTCCAGGCAATGTGCTATGGAATTACAAAGAGAAGGAATTAGGGATTCTTTCAGGTTAGGGAAATAATTTTTTTTAAATTGGACCTTGAAGAAATTTGATAGGAAATAATGAAAAAAGATATTCTAGGCTTTGACAATATTATAATCAAAGGCAGAACTATAAACGCAACCATGTGAAGAGGTAACCAGAGGCTACTGTGATTGGAAAGGTGGCAGATGAGGTCCTGAAAAGGGAAAGTAGCTGTATGTGTGGAAAGAAAGACCAAAGACGAACAAAGAGAAAGAAGCAATAAAATTGCTCTACCAAGAAAAGCATCTTAAATCTATTCATTTATCTGTTTTCTCTCCCCACAGCTTTATCCAGGCCTCCATCATCTCTCTTGAAACGACCTCAATGATTTGCTGACTGGTCTGCCTGATGAAAGGGTTTTCATGACACTTAAATCAGACTGTGAAACCCTCTGGTAAGAACCGTTCACTAGCTTCCTACTGCAATCACTACAAAATCCCAGCTCAGCGCCTTGCCCTCCAAGGCTGTGGTGTGTAGTTCTCCTGCCCCCACTCCCCCACTTCAGAGCCCACCCTTCTTCCTTTCACTCTCAATTTCCAGCCTCTCTTGTCTTGCTGCTCCTTGAACAGCCCTGGCTCTTGCCCATTTCAGGGCATCTCACTTGCTATGGCTTCTGCCGGGTATCTTCTCTCTGCAGACCTTTGTGCCACTGGCTTCTCATCCTTCAAGCTCAGGTGACAAATGTCTCGGAAGGACTCTTTCTGAGCACCTTATCTAAACTAGGACTCCCCTCAATATCCTCTGTTGCAGCAACCTGTTCAGAGCATTCATCTCAATAGAGAGAGCATTTTTAGACTATCTTTTTACTGTCTCCTCAACCATGAGACCATGTTGTTCATAGTTACAGCCCCGGCCCCAAGCAAAATGTCTGGCACACAGCAGTCACCCAGTAAATATACATAAAATGAATAAATTAATGGGACTCCACCATGGTTACGTATGGGAGTGAGGGAAGGAAAAGAAAAAAAAAATGGACTCCAATGTTTAGAATTGGGACTGCTGCAGGGAGAGGCCTCACAGTGTGATTAAAGTGACAGGGACAAGAAATGGCAGAAAGTCCCTGGACGATGATGTATCACAGGTGCCACTGAACGTTTATCCCCGTGGATGCTGCCAAACAGAAGTCGGTAAAAACCTAGAACAACAGAAACTTGAAGGTAAACTATTTTTTTTTCAAAAACAACTGCTAGAACATCCCCCAATTTGTGGGTTAGGGGAGCTGGATGGAATGATAATTACATACCAAATTTTCTATAGATAGCTGAAACTGTTTAATTTCACGAAGGGTCTCATTATCTCTTTTCACTTCATTCACATATTGTGCCAAGTCCTAAAGAATAAAGAGAAGGGGAGAAAAAGAAGGCAAGATAAGATTAGACAAGAGATGAGCACTGTTTGAAAGAAAACACATCATTAATTTCATTAATGGTAGAAAGTTACCACTACAACTTTTCAATGACAATAAAATGAATGCCTAATCGAAGCTGCATCTCAAAAGCAATTTAAAACTGTCTGGAGTACAGCTGGGAAGACTGAAGCCTTGTCATTTACCACACCCCTGAGAAGAGTAAGGATCAAACACAGAAACAAACAAAATATGCTGCCATGCAGAACAACAAAAAGGAAACCAGGTCGGGAGCAGTGTAAATTCTAAACACTGACCTTGAGAGAATCACACTTGAACTTGGGTTAGAATAAGGGCAATCATGAAGGATTAGCCGGGAGAAAAAAGTAACTAAAAGTTAGACAATGAATCTAGCAGGGCTGTTGTCTGCATCCAGTTAAGCATCTTAGTTCCTGAGAGGGCTCAGTCAGGGAAGCCAGGTCAATTTCAAAGAGTTAATAAAGGGAAGTGAAGGAGAGGAGAGAAACCAGGGAGCGTGAAAATGAACTAAAGGGCACAAACAATGCTGGCCCTGTTTCTCCATGTGCCTTCACCTATTTTAAAATGTCTTTTCTGAAATTTGAGGAAACATTAGCTAATCTTTCCATACTGTAACTAGCTATTTTTATTATACGTGCTCCAGATTTTTCCTGTTTTCTGGGTTTTCTTTTTTCCCTACCCTCTTATATTTATCTGCAACAGCAGGAACAGAACTCAGGCAAAAGCAGTTCCTAACTTTGTTCTAAATGAAAGCCCGACTTTTCATAGGATATATCTATAAACGATTTCTTTAAAGAATTGGAAACTTGATATGATTTTTTTATAATAATAAATAATGATGGGCTGTTTCCTGACAGGGTACTAAAGTCAGCTAAACACAGAGCTAACACTGAAACTGGCACAAGGACACAGAGAAGTAATTATGCACTGCTCTGGGCAGAGTCACATTGGCATTTTGTTTTGACAACAAATATTTGTGTATGTTTTAAGCTAGGGACAAATATTATTTCTTTCAAAAAGTCCAGCATAGCGTGGAAATCAGGGTTTTACAGATTCCCCAATATGTTCAAAAAGCCTGCCTTCACCTACTTCTAGTTCTTGATTTTCAGATTTACCTGAAATAGAAACCCAGACTGATCACTTGTACTGGTGCACAGCATCCAAAAAGGTAAACCTGGCTGACATCCTCACTTGAGAAAAATAAGTCACACCAGTGTCCTGAAGTCATCAGCTAAACTGCTGCTTGCACAAGCCAATAGGTTTCTACTAGCAACCATAAAAAGAATGTGACACAAAACCATGCTATTAAATCATTCCTGGTAGTTATGGAAATTGTCATACTTTCATAAATACTGAAAGTTATTTTAATATACCTCTTGGTTTTATGTTTTTGTCCAACAATTAAATCCATGCAAGGATACTGATTTCATTTAAAAATATCCAGCTCTCCCCTCCAAAAACAAACCTATGCAAATACTTATAATAATATCTATTAGCATATCATACATATGTATTAACAGTTTATATTCTATTGTTTTTATGCAAGCATTAGAAATACAAACAAGTTAATGATGCATTCGTCTAACCTTCATCGCATCAAGAGCCAGTTTCAAATTTGCCTTCTCCATAGCATCAGTGGTATGTTTGACCAGCTCCTATTTGGAAGATATATTTTAGTACTACTTTCATCAAATTAAAACCAACACATAAGAAAACATTTTACAAATAAACCATTTTTATCATTATTCTCACCATAATGTGATAAATCTGATTTAACTAGGCGCTGTTTTCATCAAAAATTTCAAACTGTAAGAAGACCAAATAGATATCAAAAGGACATGAGACAATGGTCAGAAAGGTTTTCCTTTCAAAGTTGAGCGTGAATTCTATCCCCACCATCACACTGACACTCTTGCCAGATGTTAAGAAAGATTCCCCTCCTTGACAACTGAACTGATACTTTTTTCTTTTTTGGCTGCACCACGTGGCATGTGGAATCTTAGTTCCCTGACAAGGGATCGAACCCACGCCCCCTGCATTGGAAGCGTGGAGTCTTACCCAGTGGACAACCAGGGAAGTCCCTGAACTGACACTTTTCACTTGTTACCAAACTTGGCTTCTCTATGGCTTTTGATTCTGACAACTCCATCTCTCCTTTGGCCTCAGGGACATCAGGCTCTTCTGTTTGTTGCTGTTATTTTTGTTAGTTCATCTTAAATGTTGCCTATTCATTTGTCTTTCATACCTTCTTCTTTCTTTGCACCTTAGAAATGAGTTATTATTCCCTAGATTTTCACCTTAGTCTTCTGTCATCCTTACGTTATATACTCTGTGAATTCTATCACAACCATTGCCATAACATCGCCTATCACCTAATGTGACAGTCACCCTCAAATGAATGTGCTCAACCCAGAATTCACGCCTGAGTCCCAGACTCATATGTCCTATTAAATCGTTCTACCTGGGTTTCTCGCAAGCCCCTGAAATCCAGCACGTCCAAACTTCACGCACCTTCACCCGCACCCCTACTCTTGTTCCTGTTTATGTCTTACTGAATGAGGGCACCTCCATCACTTAAGCCAAAACCTCAAAGGTGCCCCTGACTCCTCCCTCTCTCTCACTATCTTCTGTTTGTGTTAACTTTGACCCTTCCCCTTGAAGCCTCCTCCACTGGCACTACCCCGGTTCAAGTCCCTGCTCTCTTTCAAATGGGTGACTGTAATAGGCTTCTGATTCGTCTTCTGACTTGCAGTCTTTCCTTGCTACAATCTAGTCCCTCGATTGACATCAGAGTTAAATCTCTAAATGTAAATCAGATCCTGTTACTTAGACTTCTGGGAGGCTCACAAAAGCTTCAGGTTGTCACGCATACCTCGTAGATGCTTCATGATCTGAATTCTGCAAACCTCTCCCAACTTCTCTCTCCACTTCCTCTCAAACAACCGATGCCTACTTCTACTAAGTTAACTGCAATTCTCAAAATAATGTTCTAATATCTGATCCCATTAGGCATGATGTTTTCTCTCCTAGAAAGCCCTTGCTCTCTGATCCACCTGCCAAACCGATATTCTTCCTTCAAAGCCCAACTCAAGAAACACTCCTCTGTGAAGCTTTCTATGACAGAGGCCTCTTCTCAAGCCATAATTAACTAAGTCTGTATTTGTACCACCTCTGTACCTTCTGCATACTTAACACGTCGTATTGTATTTGGCAGATTACATTTCATTTTCCCCAATAAAACAGTGAACTTTATCAGTGTGAGGGGGGCTGTTTTACATTGTTGAGAGACTCACTGTATGCAGCTCATGGGATCCATTCAAAAATCTTTGCTGAGGGGCTTCCCTGGTGGCGCAGTGGTTAAGAATCCACCTGCCAATGCAGGGGACACAGGTTTGAGCCTTGGTCCGGGAAGATCCCACGTGCCGCGGAGCAACTAAGCCCGTGCACCACAACTACTGAGCCTGCGCTCTAGAGCCCGAGTGCCACAACTACTGAAGGCCGAGTGCCTAGAGCCCATGCTCCACAACAAGAGAAGCCAATGCAATGAGAAGCCTGCACACTGCAATGAAGGGTAGCCGCAACTAGAGAAAGCCCGCGTGCAACAAGGAAGACCCAATTCAGCCTAAAATAAATAAATTAAAAAAAAAAATCTTTGCTGAATTCAATACCAGTAGTGTTTCTAGTTGTAAACAGAACCTACAGATATCAAATGTGTTAAGTATAATAAACTTGTCAGAGTGATACTCTTTTGTTTCTATTTTTACTTTTCCTCTATTAAATAATAACAGTATTCTCAAAGTTTCAAACCCCCCACTATAAAATTTTAATTTTATAAATCCGTGATTTCAAATCATAAGGCATTTCAAAAATGATTTACCCCCTAAAATACAGTAGTAAGTAGAAAATATTCAAATTCATGCCACATTTATTTAACACATTTCTAAACTGTAGACAAATTAATTCTACTCTACACTATTTTGAAATGGAAAAACATTTCTAGAATTTTTATCTAAGTGTGGTATCCCAGATAAAACTTTTCCTATTTTAAAAAATCATCACGGAACTAAATATACTTTTGAAATTTAAAATATCAAACAACCCAAGAGAAATGAGCAGAAAAAGTTCACTGACTTTCCAAAAGGTAAGGTCATATTTTATACTTTTATAAGTCTGCTTAAAATCTTTTGTTTTTAAACATCTTTATCGGAGTATAATTGCTTTACAATGTTGTGTTAGCTTCTGCTGTATAACAAAGTGAATCAGCTATATGCATACATATATCCCCATATCCCCTCCCTCTTGCGTCTCCCTCCCACCCTCCCTATCCCACCCCTTTAGGTGGTCACGAAGCAGGGAGCTGATCTCCCTGTGCGATGCAGCTGCTTCCTACAGCTATCTATTTTACATTTGGTAGTGTATATATGTCCATGCCACTCTCTCACTTCGTCCCAGCTTACCCTTCCGCCTTGCCATGTCGTCAAGTCCATTCTCTATGCCTGCATCTTTATTCCTGTCCTGCCCCTAGGTTCGTCAGAACCATTTTTTCTTTTTTTTAGATTCCATATGTATGTGTTAGCATATGGTATTTGTTTTTTCTCTTCCTTACTTCACTCTGTATGACAGACTCATCCACCTCACTACAAATAACTCAATTTCATTTCTTTTTATGGCTGAGTAATGAAGAAAATAGATATTTCTTAAAAACTGCAACTTTTAAATTTTTCAATCAATATTTGACTATACTAAAGTTACAAGATAAATTATTATCTTCTTTTGGACATGTTTTTAGTTTCATGATGTCTCAGAAACTGACTGCCTAAGTCTTCCTTATTATTTTTTCATAAAATGCAATTTGATTAAGTTGCTTTGAGTTTAGGTCTCATAAATGTTTTAACGCATTTGTAAGGAATAATCAGGGTTTGAATTTTTCTGATTTCTCAGTAGAAAATAGAAATGACTAATAATTTTGCAGTTACAGTTCAAGAAATTTAATATACAAGATGTATAAAGCACAGCAAACTCAGAATTATATTTCACATACAGGTAGTAGATCTTTTAAAAATGGCATTTCACAAGCATCAGCAAAGCTGATAGACTAATACAGTAAGACATTTCTTTGGAGCAGAACTAATGAGTCTCCTGGTACAGCTATCAAATTAAATTTATAAGACTCTCCACCCTCATTAGAAGACTAACCGTGGAAACCATAAGCTTTGCGGTTATAACAAGAATCACTTCAAAATAAATGTAGTCTTATTATAATTTAGTATAGCAGAAAGTAACACAGAGTGTGACACAATTCTCTTTCGTTTATGGTTATAAGGCACAAATTCTAACACAATTAACCTGCCAAAATTCAAGTGTATTGCAACACTGAGATTCTAATAAATGATTACTGCTAATGACAGAAGACTTGGTTGAAGGGATATTTATATTTGTTTTGCCTTGTTTTTAAATTTTTTAATTTTTTTGGAGCCAGTTCTGTTTGAAGAACTCAAAATGTGACTGTGTGAAAGATACAGAATTATCTTTGCTTAAAAGGAAGAAAAAATTTCCAGCTGTTCTGTTATTTCCCACTTAGCTATCCTCATAATTGAAAACTGTAAGGGGATAGGGCTCCAAACATAAAGTTTCTGCAGCTTAGTTGATGCTTCATTAATATTGTGTTGAATTAATGAATGAACAAATAAACAAACAGTTTTAAATTACATACCTGAAGGAGAAGGTGATACTTTAAAACACGCTGCATAGGAACCACAAGCAGATCTCGAAGAGTAAATTTCCCATTATTTGCTCTTTTAGAACATTCCTAAAGAAATATTTTTTTAATTGAACTGTTTTAGTTTTAGCAAAAGGAGTCATAATACAAACATTAAAAGATGCAAACGCCATAAGCAAAACTGCTATTATACGATAAATATTTTGCTATTTTCCTTAACAATCCTTCTTTCTTAAAAATAGGAAGTATCATCAGTTAAAAACCAAAAGAAACAAACAAAACTTGTAGCATTTCAACTCTAAATAAGAATAAATATGTAGAACTATTTTACACATGAAAATCATTTTCTCTAGTGGTCCTCCAGCATCTTCCCCCCCCTTACCACTTAACCTTTCACCAGTCTCCCCAAGCAGGCCTGTGGACCAGGCATCAAGAACAAGCCCCATTAATCAAACCCACTATGTTCCCTCCCCACCATCATGCCTTGGTTCATCCGGTTCTCTCCAACTGCCATGTGCTTGGACTAGTTCCCAGCAAAATTCATCATCCTCTTGAAGAACTATACTTCAAGGCTGTTAGTAATAGTCCCAATCAAAATTGTGCTGTCTCTCTGTGCCTTGTGGGTCTCTTAATTATTGTTGTATATGTATATGTATAATATCTTCCCCAATATATTATGTCTTTTATACCTCTTAAGGATCTAGTATTTACTGACTAAACATTTGTTGTAATGAATGAAATGGAATGATTGACTCCCAAAATTTGCTAAAGTATAAACCCACTACAGGATTCAAAGCCTCATATTTTATTTTTTTTAATCTCACAATCTCCTTTCTTACAAGTTTATCAAAAAATAGCATTGACGGGTTCACTCTATTGACATTAACTATGACTGAGGAAAGTACTTTGAATTTGCAGTGTCAAAGCCTGAATTTAAATCAAGTTTGGCAATTCTTGTCTGTGTGACCTTGAACAAATTGCTTTTCTGATCTTACTGTTTCTCAAATATTCATGGTATCATCCAAAAAAAACAATAAGGTGTCATAAAGATATTTTTATTTGTGAGCAACCTAAGTCCAAAATCCTCAGACAATTATATAACCAAGACCAAGGAATTTTCCAGTTCATGGAAGGGGTTGTATTCAAGAAAATACTCTTTAGTTTCCCTTTTGCCCACACTTAGCTTTTCCAGCACATGGACGGATATATTATATTATCAGGAGCTATAGAAACAAACACCATTAGCTCCAATGACCATATTGAGTTAATGAGTGCTTGACTACAGCTTTCAAACAAGAACTGGTGACACATCCTGACATGTTAGCTCACATCTTGTCAATTGCTGGGGTTCACTGGACAGATAACTATTTCAAATGATTTCTTGCTTCCACAGATTGGAGAGAGTTCTGGATCATGGGTCTCAAATAGGAGGTCAAACTGTTAATATTATGGTAATGAATGGGTCTCATCTTCCCAGCTGCATTTTAAGTTCCTTGGAAATTGAGGTTGTATCTTACACTTCTTATGTTATGCCATCTTAATTAACATAGTGTTAAGAACAGAAATATTATACACTTAAAATTTACTTTGTTATGTTATGGAAGTCAGTGTAAAACTGTTGGGGAAAAAATTATTTCAAGTTCTAAGTTATAAGCTCAGGAAGTAAAGAAACTAACAGTGCTGGCATTAGCTACAATTAGGGGGCCAAGACTGAAGTGTAAAATGCTTATTAGTATTGAAAGCAAATAAAACGTAGAAATGATTCTTCCAACCATCCAGTCAAGTGCTTAGCCTCAACTCCAATCCTAAGTGAAAAGGAAAGAAGATGTAATAGGGATGAGCCAGCTCAGAGAACAAGGTAAAGAGACTCTATTACCCTTCACCCCATGTTATCTTGGTTCTACAGTAGGGGTGAAAAAAAGACAAAAATCATCAAGAATAAAAATAACCACAAAACAGAAGACATGAAGGAGGCAGAGAGAAACCTAGTATAAGGCAGCTTTCCCTCCATCATGCTGGGACTTGCAGAAGACAGTTCCAGCAAAGACTATTTGTTGAGGGCTTATAGTAAGTATCTGGTTAAATACTTCCAAATCAGACCCATGGTTAACACAACCAGCATCACCTCACCCTGAGCCTTTCAAACTCAGTCTGAGGTTCTCTCTTTC